CCCATATAAATTTTATCGAAATCGGTAGAGCGGTTTTTTTTAAAAATCAACAATAAATATATTTTTTTAAATAAATTGCTTAATCAAATATGTTATTAAAAAACTTTCTTCTTATAAATTACCTGCTTACTACGTCTACACTAAAAATGGAAAAATAAAAACTATTTAACAAAAAATAAAGACCGACTTCAAGGCACTAAAATGTAAAAAATAACTAAACGGAGGTTTTCGTTTAGAATAGATACCTAATCAGATATTTTCGAAGTCGGTGCCAGTCTACAATATTTTAAGATATGAATATCTAATAGGTAAATATGTATTTTACGTATCGAAATATACTAGATTTGCTTTGCATCGGCTGGCAACGACTTCGAAAATATCTGATTAGGTACCAATCTATTCTAAATGAAAACCTCCGTTTAGTTATTTTTTACATTTTAGTGCCTGGAAGTCGGTTTTTATTTTTTGTTAAAAAGTTTTTATAAACTTTAACATAAAGACATAATAATAAGAGTGTATGTTTATTTTATCACTTTCTAAATCATAAAATCAAAAAAATATTTAAAGCGTATGTTAGCATCCATTCAGTATAAAAATAATTAATTTATCTACAAAACTACGACTAGGGGAGCAAGACGCCGTGGTCTTCACTTATAATTTATGGGGAACACCAATTTGTTAGCGCGATATTAAACGTAAACTGTTGAATGGACCGAAAAGTAGGGTGTAGTGTCATCCCTAGTTTTATTTTGCTTTGCATTTATACTTTGTGCTATAATGTAATTGTTGCTAACAAAGTCATGGAATATCTTTTTCTGCCGAATGTAGAGTAGTTAAAATTTTGATAAAAAAAATGTATTATACTTATTAATTATATCGAAAATCTAACAGATTATATTAGATTTTTATGTATTAGTTGTTTTTATATTATTAATTTAAAATAACGCTAGGTAATATTTTACAGAGTTTGTGCGCTAATAGAGCTACAGATCTACAAAGCTACATTAATTTTTATACCACCAAGTAGTCCCTTTCAAGCCTTATGCTAATATTTACTGAAGGACACACAGAGCCCGGAAGAGGATAGATAAGGTCTGAGCCCTGACCAACGTCTAGATTTTTTTAACTTATATACAGATTTAGTACACTAATAAGTACCCATAATTTTGACAATAAATTATTACTTTAGTAAATAAATAATAATATCATATTAAGTATATTATCATGTTACATTTCTTTATAAGAAATGTTTCATATCGATAGCAACATTCTAACAATAATTGTGCTGCCTAAACGGCATGGTGTTGGGTTATAAACCAAATTATACGCGCCATAACCTTTGTTGACAACTCACTCGTGTAATGGCGCCGTATTTCGGCGGGAATTTGGCGATGCAATACCAAATAATACTAACTGTACACGTTTTACCAAACACAGTTTCAACATAAATTTTAAACGTCAATATTAGTTTTTCACATGCTGTGAAGAATTACCTACTAGCTCTACGGTAATATTTTGTATGCTATTTACTTTAAAATATGTATTTAAAATTACATAAAAATATAAAAAAGCTTTTATATAATACCTCTTAGCCGATGAGGCAAAATTTTACATTGAATATATCTTAAAAATTAAAACTAATATTCGGTGATGAATTTATGTTTTAAAACAATTATTTTTTCAGAATTTTTATTAGTCTGTATATTTATTCACAAATGCCTTGAAATGTTAAATTGCCGTGAGAGTTGAGACTGTCTTTTAGCCCGTACCGTAGGTGATGATTAAGATTAAATCACAAATGAATTTAAAGATACACTTTATAAATATAAAGTCATAAATGTTTTAATTCATAAATTTTTTTTTTGACATACGTAATAGCATTAGATTTATGCTCGTATGTTATAATGCTATCTTTCTAGGATTGAATCCTATTGAGATAACCATAATGTTACTTATACTATATTTATAATTATACATATAAGTCCTATTTTTTTATAATTAATCATTTATATAATTATATAAGTGTAGCATTAGCTTTATCCTAGAGAGATAGCAAATTAATAAATTTTTGAATGTGGCTATAATACTCATCTATTAGTTGTGTTTAGAGCGTAAAATAAATACAACAAAAACTAAATAAGTAGGTATGTAATGAACAAATGTTAAAATTAAAAAGTTTTTATATAAATAATAAAAAATATCATTTTGTCTAGACAACACTCAAGAATACCAAATAACAAAAAAAATTAAACTAACCTTTTGACAGGTAAATTATATCTCTGTAAAAATATAGTTTAAAGATTATAAAAAAAAATCTTAATATACAATTTTCTAAAGAAAACAAACTTATCAAGAAGGAATTAAAAATAAATAATTTCCCAACATGTGCTGGCTTGGTTGGGCATTTGCATTATCACTATTTTCCTACATGTTTGTATCTCCCCCGAAGCATTAAATGCTACAAGGAAAAATGAGAAAAAAATATATATTATATTATAAAACAACGAAGACAATATTTAAAAAATATATGAAAAATGGAAGTTATGCTAGTATCAAAAACACCAGCTCGATGTGTTAGAATCGCCACTTGTGGAATTAATTGTTGTTTCTCTTTATGTTAAACCTTAATTTTAAGAGCATAAGGTCTTCTAGTACGATAATTACGATAATGATACAACTGTCCTTAATAGATGCTGTATAAATTGTATGAAATGGAATAAACGTTTATGTCAACAGAACTAATTTGTTTACATTATTCATACCTATACCTGATATTATTTGAAGTTAATTATTTACAAAAATAAAAATAGGCTTTTGAGACCTTCTTTCGTTAGCCACCATATATTTTACCACATGTCTCAGCTGGAATCCACACATAACACAGAAAATTAGAACTTCCTAAAAAAAATTGATTGCTCACATTTACGTTCATTAACTCATTAACCATCATCATCAGAATTATCGAAGCCTTGGCGTTATCTCGACAAGCCGGCACTGCCTTCGGAAGAACCTACAAATCTCAATACAAATTAGGCTACCTTTTTTTAAATATTGGAAAATGCATTTACGCATACCACCTGCACACATACAGGTAAGTGGGACTCACCGGTTTAATAGAAACCAGTACTAGCCGTTAAAACCCAACAGAAGCTATCTCGTCGCAGGATCACTCACACACGATGCCCCGACGACATGTCTGACAAAGCATACCACACAACCAAAGGGTTGCCCCCACGGTCCACTCTGCTGTCAGAGAAGTGCCAGGAGCAACCCGCATGGTACACTGCCTTTTTTTTTTTTTTAACGTTGGGAAATGCATTTACGCACGAGGTGTGGGACTCACCGGCAAAGCCAGTACTACCCACTAAAACCCAACAAAGCCTTCCGCCGTCTTAATGGGGCGTCGCAGGATCGCTTACGCATTCAACTACGACGCCCCGACGGTAGGTCTGCCGAAGCAGACCACAACAACCACGGGGTTGCTCCAAGGTCCACTCTGCTATCAGAGAAGTACCAGGAGCAACCCGCATGGCACACCGCCCTCCGAAGAGGGCCACCTCCCACCGCCCACCGAGGTGGGCCACCTCCCTGTGCGTTTCTTGGCTTCGCGCCCGGTTGGGTTGCCGGGCACTACTGAGCCCCCCCACCACGACAAGGTGAACGCACGTTGGGGGGGATGGTACACTGCCTACCATAACGGCCACCTCCCAGTGTGTCTCTTGGCTTTACGCCCGGCTGGATTGCTGGACACTAGTAAGCTTCGATGTACATTTATAATAACATAAGAAATACTAATGTGTATTGATTAATCATTTAAATATATTTTATGTAATTTCAAATATAATGAATTCATATTTTAGTGGTATTTTAGTAGTCATTTAGGTTCATATATAACATATAATAGGTATGCTACTTTATATATGTACCACAATATTTCTTTAATAGTTCTTGAGCAATCTACTCGTACAAATAATAAGTACCTGGGCTACCGAGGTTCGCTCGGAGTGTTTGGCCTAAATTATAATTTTCTTATAAATATAAAAAAAAAAACAAAAGTAAAAACTTTGTATGCGACTGAGATTCGAACCTGGACACCTGTGATTGTTGTTCTTGCACCTTGGCCGCTTGACCACGATGCTTACTCCAGAGCGTGCAAATTATCGACCATATTTTGCGTGGGATAATGGAAAAGAAAACTGTGTGAAAACTTGAAAACACGCGATTTCTCAGACATAAGACTAATCTAGATCGATTTATCGCCCCCAAAACCGCCTGTATACTAAATTTCATGAAAATCTTTGGAGCCGTTTCCGAGATATATATACAAGATTATATTTATATATATGCAAGAACTGCTCGTTTAAAGATATAACGTATACCTAACACATATAGTGATAGGTGTTATTCTAGACATTGTCTCGAATATTATACATATATTTTTCTGCCAATCACACTTGTAAAGGAGAAAGGATAAATAAAATCTGCCCAACAGTTATTGCATGCTTAAAAATTCTTCACTAGATTCGCTTATAGCTTCTCTCGTGTGGTAGGTAGGTAGCTTGTAATCATGCATCCATTATAGATTATTTTATAAAAACATAACATAATATGATTTTTTTTAGATATGAATTTATAAGAATCTAGCAAATAAATTGATATAACTTATTGTATATATACATTAGATTTCTAAACGCATACCAAAATATCAATTTAAATCAGATGTCAAAGACACAAGTGATGTCTCATGTCATTAAACGTCAAAACAAAATATTTCTGATAAAAAAGACAAAATAAAAGGCGACAATACAATAATTTAATACCTATAATAATTAATTTATACGTAAGCTATAGTTATTAAGTTATCCTAAAACTATTAAAATAAGCAATTTTTGGTTTAGTGCCACATTATTCAAAATTAAGTTGTAGCGGGAAACTTCGTTATATATTTTGTTTGTTAGTACACCAAGTCTACAAAATTAGGAAGACAAAATACTGTAGAAATGAATCCTCAATGTCTAAATAGTGATTCTAGTGAACCTGAAGCAATAATCATATCAGATGATGACGACATTATTCCAATTTCCCCACCACCACTAACAGAAATAGATATAACAGAATCCGAAGAAAATACTGTTTTACTTAATTCTGAAACTGCTAAATCGCAAAGAAAATCACATATTGAGAAGATCTTTCCAAGTCAATCAAGCAGTGGTTCTTCAGTACCAACTGCAGTTAATGTAAAAGAAACAACACAAACAATATCTACTGTAAGAGTAGTTTTTCCTGTTAAACCTTATCCATCTCAGGTGCATGTAATGTCAAAAGTAAGTTCTGTTTGGGAGAATTTTAATAATTTTATTTTTATTTTTTTGGCTGCAGTTCACTATATAGGAGTTTACAACATTCCCGTATATTATTATAGAATTTGCTGTTATTTTCACATTTCCAATTCTTCTCTTAATGTTTGTTAGACTCTCTTATTTGATAAAGCCATTATTATACTAAACTTGTGCCCATGGCTTACATATTTATTTATTAATTTCAGGTTATTAGAGCTATTAAAGATAAAGAGAACTGCTTAGTGGAGAGTCCAACAGGTACAGGCAAAACATTAGCCTTACTTTGTGCTTCATTAGCTTGGCAACTGCAAGAAAAAGGTAAGGCTTTATCTATTATATTTATAAAAATATTTTGTTTCTCCTGTATCTTTTCTCATCCATATAATATATTAAGTGAAATTATTTTTTTGTTTATTTGGAACTATGTTAATCTCTGGAACTACCAGTCCCATTTAAAAATTTTACCCATAAAAAATGAAACTCATTTAAGCAGTAATATATATATATATATATATATATATATATATATATATATATATATATATATATATACACGTTATTTAACATCGTACTAGAACCTGTAGTAATATACAGCTATAGATCAATTTATACATGAACTATCCAGGTAGAGTTAAGAAGCTTTCAGAATGTCAGGTTTAGTTTTTCATAACATAAAAATAATAATTGAACAATAATTTCAATTGATATTTGCTACTTAATATTTCCAAATAGCTACACATATTAATAAAAATCTAGTTGCTTAGTTGATATTTTCAATAAACCTGGCTCTGTAATTGTTTAAATTTGTCTGTTGTATTTGTCTGCTTACCTGACAATTGGTCCCATGTTTTCTTAAAATTTTGTAAATTTAAAGTTTTAGGTAAAGTAATTACTGACCTAAAGCAAAGTAAAATATGAATTTTAATTTTTAGGCTTCATACAAGAAAATATAAAAAAATATATCAAAGCAATCCATTAAATGAATGGGCCTGCTATAAGAAATATAAATATAATATTTTTTTAGATATTTATTATATACTAGCATTGCCCGCGGCTCCACCCGCGGTCAGATGACCAAAATCCAAATTCATAGGTTTTACATATTAGTATACTCTTACATCGCAGTTTTTGTATTTTTTCTCAGAAATGAGACATTTTCCCGCAGTAAAAAGTATCCTATATATTGACCCGGATAACCAGCTACAATCATACCAGATTTCATCAAAATCCCTCCAGTGGTTTTTCTGTGATGCGGTAACAGATAAACAGACAGACAGACAAAAATTCTAAAAACTATAGATTCGGCCTCTGTATTGATAATTATGTTTATTTCAATAAGATTTTCCAAAAAATATTTAATTTGATAAATTAAATCAAAAAATATCGATTCAGCTTAGTTAGAATTTTTTTACATGTATAGATAGATGTACCTACTATGTTAGATGTGAATTGTTATAGTCAAATCACTATATTTAAATTGTTTTATTTCTAATATAAAATCAACATTTATAATAATTTAGTGATTATATTCAATTTATTTAACTAAATATTAAAAATAAAGAATCGAACATTTGTAGAATTTAAATGGCATAAATGATACAAAGTAATATAATATGTACATATACATATACCTGTTTCAATGCCGTCAGATTAATTTAAAAAAAAACACCATACATATATTTCCTTTTATTCTATGTATTTTGCGTCAATGACATTTGTATGATGATTCACTGATATTGACTAAGGAGTAAAAAGGTATTAAATTATTTGTTTATCAAATCCAAGTTGTGCTGGTCAGCAACCACATAAATTAATATAGCACATACAAACTTGTATTATATACTATGATTCGAATTGTACCCTTAACAATAAATTACACAATTTCACTAATATTTGAAAATGTTAAAAAATGTATGTATATATCATATCAATAAATATCATAGTATGCCGTTCTAAAACACATGTCCTTAATAGTATACAATTGCGAGCACAATATAAGAGATCAGTTCTTATCACCAAGATAACGTTCGATAGTCTTATGCAGCAAATTATCTATGACTAGCATTGCCCGCGGCTCCGCCCGCGTTCCGACTTACTATAGGTATAACTTTACTTACATATTATAAATATAATCACCCATGACTGGAGTACAAACATTCGTGCTCATCACACAAATGAATGCTCCCAGCGGGACTCGAACCCGCGAACGCTGGCACAGCAAGTAGGTTCACTGCAAACTGAGCCAAACTTTTCGTCATAATTTTAATGGTCTGCGATACAAATACATAAAATTATAACATGGTTATCATTTTATCAAATTTCTTATTTGGTTAAATGAAATAAACTTTTTTACGCGTAGTGAGCCGCAGTATGAATATAGTATAAAATATTTATTAATAATAATTTAAGTAACCCTATAAGTAAATTACTGGCACTCCTAACAGCCACGAAATATAAGAATTGAACTAAAGTATCCCTATACCTAAGATATCACATGACAGATGAATTATTATTATTATTTTTATTTAATCATTTATTTCAGGCAATATTTACAAATAGATCTTAAATATATAAACAGTGGCCCATAAGCGTAGTGGCTAGCATGTACGGCTGCACACCCGGAGGTCCTGGGTTCGAGTCCCGGGTCGGGCCAAGTTTAGTTATTGAGTCTTCCTGTATAGTAAGTCTCAGTAACAGCCCGGAGTTGGGAAGTTGGCGGTGTTTCACCCCCGTGCCTCGGAGAGCACGTAAAGCCGTCGGTCCTGCGCCTTAACTCTCACCGGTCGTGTCGAGCAGTCGTCCCACCGGAGTATGAGAGTGATAGGAATAGAGAGTGCACTTGTGTCTGCGCGTACACTTGAGCACTTTAATATCTCCTGCGCAGTTGGCTAATCTCATTGAGATTGGCCGCCGTGGCCGGAATCGGCTAGGAGAACATCATCATCATATACCTTAAAAACTAACATATAATTATATACGTTACAGTCGTTCTTAGGCAATTAATTTGCATATTCATTTTTTTGTATGTATATTACGCGACATCTTCTTAACTGTAAGTCGATTTTTATGTTTTTTTTTGTTTATAAATATGTAAAACCTCCATTAGTATATTTTAATTTTGAAAAGAATGCTTTAAAAGTGATTTTGAAACCTTTTTTTTTTATTAAAAAGGATATAAAATTGCTATTATATTTAGTTTGGTTTCACTGCGTTCACATCAACCAAATGAGCCCAAATGAGCTTATGTAGAATTTATTGTGAAAGAAATACTAACATTTATAAATGTTTATTATCATAGATAGTATAAATATTAAAAGCATATTCAAACAATGTTAGGACGGGTAAGTTGTAACGCGCCAATTGATCACAAGTGTTCGCGTGTTCAGTTCGGCGTAACTGACAAGCTTGCACATAAATCAAAAATACTGTCACACGACATCGCAAACAGCCTAACACGAAAATTGCAGAATAACCGAATGCAATCGCTGCACGAACTATTTGCATAGGATAAGGGGTTATATTTTCCATGTTTTTTATTGTTACCTGATTGGACCATTACATGAATGGTCCATTGACAAATAGAACTGTATTATAGTTTTTGAAACTATATTATATGTATCGATACGTAAGTATATCAATCGATTTAAGAATATGTACTCTCATTATAATTTGTTTTCATATTTGTGCTGTCATTACAAGTATAAATTAAAAATTTAAAAAGCCTCCGACTATCTTGAACAAATTTTCATCAAACATTGCTAAGAACACTCCCGACTAATTCACCTTTTAAACAAAAAAAACACAAAATCAAAATCAGTTCATCTGTTCGGGTGCTACGATGCCACAGACAGACACACACAGACACGTCAAACTAATAAAACCCCGTCGTTTTTGCGTCGGATGTAAAAATAATATTCCCAAAAAATACGAGCAAAAAACGAAATGATTTTTTTATTTTTTAATTTAAACTAGTAGTAATTTTTCTATGACTAACATGAAATTCAAATTCAAAACTTTTTATTAAGCATTAAATTATTACAATTTTTCACTGGACGTCATGAGTCTACTACTAGTTCGGAAAGAAGAAGCCTCAAACCTGTCAAGAAATGGCGAAAGAAACTCAGCAAGAAAGTACAAGATGTTATTGTCAATTTTTTTTACACTTTTATTAGCTTTACTGATAACTGGTAATCTGGTTGACTTACAAACTAACTCACTAAATGATAACTTCCTAAAAGCGTTTGTCATTTAAATTGAAAATTTTTATAAGTTAATATCTGGATGACCATGAAATAATTTCATACTATCGAGATGGACAAGAGGTGGACTCTCTTCAATGAGTACCTACTACAAGCCTTTAGGCTCATTTGATTTGTTTTCAGAAGTTCCGTACGTAACAATTTGTCAAAAACATGTATTTTCATTTTCTACATAGGTATCCATACTAATATTATAAATATGAAAGTGTGTGTTTGTTTGTCTTTCTTTCACGTCGAAACGGCTTGGGGGATTGACGTGATTTTTTGTGTGGAGATAGTTGGAGGGCTGGAGAGTGACATAGACTACTTTTTGTAGTTTTAGCGCGAGCGAACCCGCGGGTTCTGCTAGTGATTATATAAGTATATGTGATAATTATAAATTGAGCAAAAAATCTTACAATCTCTTCTAAAGGCAGTATAGGCACTCCACCATGACCAACTACTTTCTTAACTCAAAATATTTTATATGAAGTCGTTATTATGACTTCGAAAATCTGAATATTTTGTACTTGTCAACATCTAACGCTCTATCTACAATCTTGTATCACAGACACTTTATTGGAATTACAACTATACACGGCACAGGAAACTACAATATAACCCTAAGCCTAACTGTCGGAAAGATAGTGCATTTATAAAGTTAACATTCATTTATTTCGATTCGAAATTCACTCAATCAGCAAAAATTGACAATTTCTTTTCAGGTATTGTAATGGAAATATAACTTAAGAAAATGCTTCCCATTTTGTATTTGTTTTACATTTTTATGGTTTGACTTGGTGAAATAACAATTTAAATCGGTATTGTATACAAATGTTATTGGACTGACAGCGATTAGAAAGTTTTTACCACCCAATGTAGTGAGAAAAATCGTATTAAAGTCATTTGGTGTTGGCGTGTGTCAAATTTCCTAACTTTTCTGGTCACGATATTCTTTCGCCAATTTTCTTTGTGTCAAAAATCTTGACGTCTCAATCATATGCCCCTAAAAGATTTGGACAGATATATCTAAGTTTTTCTTTTGTCACGAAACTTTTGCGGTTAAATTAACACGAATAT